TGCGGGCCCGGGCAGCTCGGGACCGCCGGGAAACCTGGGGACGGCCGCCGCTCGCTCACGCCAGCAACGAGCGTGCACCCGGTTCCTCCCAGCCAACACAGCGGTGGACCCTTCCTTCCTTCCTTCCTCCCTTTGGGCGCACTGACGGCGCAAGGCAACAGTACTGCATCAAGTCAGGATTTAAATAAGCCCAGCCGCACCAGCAGCCTACCGAGTGACAAGCTGGGGGCAACAAGATCCGCTAAAACGTCTTCAAGACCAGAACAAGCCACAGTCAGACGATTCTGGAAGCCAGTGCAGCAAGCAGAATATGCCAGTGTAACAATTTAATGAACCATTAACGATTTGTTTTTTTAAGGCAACGCTAAACTACTGGAGAAAAAGTTCCGTACAACAGCAACAGCCTAGAAACAAACCAACTTCAGTGTCACCTATGGTACGCTTGGCCCCTATTACAGATTCCCCTACTCCAACTGATGGCCAGAGTACAGAGCACTTCCTGAGAAGTAACGATGCGCTGAAACTAATGGCAGGATGCCGAACATGCTTGGTCCACTTCTCCAGGCACTCACTGGTTGCCAGAAAAGGCCACACACTGCAGTCAAGATAAAAATCTCATTACTCTGGTTTATACGCACCTCTCCCCTTAGTCTACTTGTTCTACATTACTCACATTAAAAGCGAAATTTAAAGAAGGAAAAGTAAAAAAAAAAGACTCTTAAAAATTAAAAATCCAAAATCAGTTTTGTACCTTTTTTGGAAGGGCATGAATGGAATACCAGTTGTTTCATTGGGGGTATTTTTCATTACACCTACAATTCAGCATTTTCAAGATACACCATGACAATAAAAATGTTAAAATATTTAACCGTTGTTCCTAAATTCATGCTTTCACCTCTGTACTTAATGGCTTTGTAGTATATCTTTTCATATATATATGTGTGTGTGTGTGTGTGTGTGTGTGTGTGTGAAGGATGTATGGGTTATCATTACACATACTACTTGTAGTAAACTGGCAGAGATGATAACATTTCACTAAACATGAAAAAACTGGGTAATAGCATTACTATACTTGAATTTGATAAAATTTATCCTAAAACACCCATTAATCATTTCACAGAAGCCTCACAGTAAAAGTGAGGGGTCCAGCCTATCTCTGATGACCTTTTCCGCCCCAAAGGCCTTGAATCTGTGGATAGTGAGTCCACACAGCCATCAGCAAAACACAAAGCCTAATTTCAGTTCTAGGATATTTAATGACAGGAAAGTATGCTGAATTAACTTTCAAACAAGGCGGGAGATGGAAGGGTGTTAATGTGTGCCCGTTTTTCCACTATGGTAACTTGTGGACCACTGAAGTTGAAAGCATGTCATCCAAATCAATACCTGCAAGACCTTAATCCACAAAAACAACTTTACATACAATTTTTACTATAACTGAAAAAACACTTCCCTCTTAATTTTTTCACTCAAGGCTTTACTAGGCCTACATAATTATATTGCTTTCTTACCTATTACATCCTACTACATTAGTGTTTAAGTCACTCTTTCAGCAACATTAATGCCTCTCCTAAAGGCCAACAGACATCCCCAGACACAAGTCGACAGGTATGAATCAAGTGTATTACAAAGTTCGTTATGTCAGAGGTAAAGGGCATAACCAGCCCATCCTAAGAGGTTTCTTCACCAGATGCTCGTTACTACTTATCTCAGTCATTCCCAGATCTCCCCATTAGGGTTTTTTTCTGGGAATACTGTAGCAAGTTCTCTGAGTAGAAACAAGACCCATGGACCCCTTTAAACTCCACCGAGAAAAGGAGTCACTTGTAGGAGGAAGGAACAGGCCGGAGGCACACCTATCCAGCACCCCCCGAAGGGTGGGGGACACTCCAAAGAAAGGGAAGGAAGACACTGCCCAAGGCTAGACTGCGGTAAATCTCCGGGCTCCTCCAGCGCTCCGCTCTTCCCTGCCCCTTTCCTGTCATTTGCTGAGAGCTACGCTCAAGGCCAAAAATGTCCTGAGACCTTCGTCGGGTCAGGGCCCCGGGCGGGAGCTCCGCGTGTGCCGTGGCAACTCAGGCACAGAAAAGACTTCTAGAGCCTTCCGTGATGGCGGGTGGCCGTGTGCACGGGGTGGGGGGGTGCGGCTCAACACAGGGGCGCCCTCCTGGGCTGCGAGCTGCGGCGTGGGAACCCCGGCCACCTGCGCAG